AAGGTGGTCCCTGAATTGCAGAGTCAGCAGCAGTGGCACGCTGCCAGTATGCACCCCTCCTGCCATCCCTTTCCTTTCTATCACCTGGCTTCTCTTCGGCCACACAACCCTTGGAGAAAGTTGTCTAGAAGGGGTGGTTCATAGCTGGTCCAGAAGAGCTTTCTGGAAAATGAAAGCAGTTTGAGCAGTGTAAGGTGCTGCTGCCGTCTCCCCAGCCCAGAGGCTTTATCCAAGGAGCTGCCAACCTCCTGGCCTATCTCCAGGTCTGTGACAGGCGGGAGGTCAGGCACAGGAAGCTGCTGCTGCGTGCTCTGTCAGGGGCAATGTCAGGTGTTGGAGGTAGACGGTGCTGTGTGGTAGGGAGCCTGAGGAGCTGTGAGCTTGGCGATGTGTGATGACTGGACGGGAGCCTAGAGAGCAGTGCCCTGGCGAGACGTGTTTACCATTTTCCATCTCTTGCAGATCCCAGCTACCGCTCCTTCCACTCCGCTGGATATGGCCAGGATGCCTTGGGGATGGACCCGATGATGGAGCATGAGATGGGTGGCCACCACCCAGGTGCTGACTATCCCGTCGATGGGCTGCCTGACCTGGGCCATGCCCAGGACCTCATGGACGGGCTGCCCCCAGGTGACAGCAATCAGCTGGCCTGGTTTGACACTGACCTGTAGAGCGTCCCTTAGGTAAGAAAGCTCACGCAAGCCAGTGTGGGTGAACCACTTTACTCTGCCTGCAGAACCCCAGAAAGACTTGGCGGGGTGGGATGGGCTTTAGGCCTGTGTGTAAATCTGCCACACAACAGATCCGTACCTTGGAAGGAGGTGTTCATGTGTGAAGTTTCTCACTTTGATGTTTTTGCCACAGCTTTTGCAGCGTTATACTACTCAGACGAGACCTTTGCTGTTTCCAGCATTAATAGCAGCCTTTCTCTATACAGCTGTGTTGTCTGAACTTGCATTGTGATTGGCCTGTAGAGTTGCCGAGAGGGCTCGAGGGTGGGCTGGTATCTCAGAAAGTGCCTGACACTAACCAAGCTGAGTTTCCTATGGGAACAGTCGAAGTAAACTTTTTGTTCTGGTCCTTTTTGGTCGAGGAGTAACAATACAAATGGATTTGGGGAGTGACTCACGCAGTGAAGAGTGCACAGGAGTGGATCACAGGATGGCGTTGTCAGACCCTAGCCTTGCTTGTTCTTTTTCGTTTTTCTGTTTTTTTTTAAATATCTGTAATGGTACTGACTTTGCTTGCTTTGAAGTAGCGTTTATTTTTTGCAGTAACTGTTAGTTTTTAAGTCTCGTAGTGTTATGTTCTAGTGAACCTGCTACAGCAATTTCTGATTTCTAAGAACCGAGTAATGGTGTAGAACACTAATTCATAATCACGCTAATTGTAACCTGGAAACGTGTAACGTTGTGTAGCCTTTTGTATAAATAGATAGAAATGGTCCAATTAGTTTCCTTTTTAATATGCTTAAAATAAGCAGGTGGATCTATTTCATGTTTTTGAACAAAAACTTTATCCGGGGATACGTGCGGTAGGGTAAATCGGTAAGAGGTGTTATTTGAGCCTTGTTTTGGACAGTTTACCAGTTGCCTTTTATCCCAAAGTTGTTGTAACCTGCTGTGATACAATGCTTCAAGAGATGCGGTTATAAAATGGTTCAGAATTAAACTTTTAATTCATTCGCTTGTGTCCCTCTTGTTCTTTTGTCATGAGGTGGTTGGTGAGGGTAATGAGGCTGCAGTTGGCCCTGAGGAAGTGTCACCGTCGGCTGCCCAGGCTTTCTGGGTAGAGGAAAGGACCAAGTCTGGACGGGAGCGCACACTGTCTGTTCAGGGGCATACCAAAAACCAGACAAGCCAGAGACAGGCGGCGTGTGCTCCCGCCTAAATCCTGTCGGTGGCTGACTGGGCTTCTGGGAAAGGACTGTTCTGCCATGTGTGGCCAGTGCTCCTTCTGCTCACCCCCTTGCCCGAGAACCCAGGGGCATTCCTGCAGTGCCCACAGCTGGAAGCTGAGGATGGCTCTCCTCACTGAGCATTAACAGTGGCCTACTGGGTTTGGACTTACCTGGACATAATTAGGCCAGGATGGGCCGCCTCCCACGTGGACTGCCAGATGGTCTGTCGCTTTCGGGGGTGGGCCTGACTAGTAGGCTTTGTACATTTCTTACACAGACCTGTTCTAACCTCCTAAGAATTGACTGTGTTGTGCCTTAGAGAGCTGTTTGGTTACCTGGGTTTTAAGGCTGTGCCTGTTAGACCAGTTGGCATTCTGATCCACAGTAGGCGGAGGGCTCTATGAGGACGTTCTTCTCGGAGATGCCCAGCTCGGGGTCCACTCCACAGGGGAGAGGTTTGCCGTAGCCACCCTCTCTGTTAAAGGGACGGACGGCAGGGTGGCCCATGTAAGCAGGAGCTCTGCTGTATCCTTAGAAGCACCGACAGCGGCGCAGAGCCAAGACCTAACTGTGGAGGCTGCAAAGGAACAGAAATGCAGATGGCCCACCTCACAGGCAACGGGGGAGGGGGAGGTTCGTGGGAAAGGGCACTGTGAGGTGAGTACCAGCACTGCTTATCGTGCACAGCATGGAACAGCAAGAGCATGACTAAAAAAGGAGAAGCCATCTTAGGACAGCGTTCACAGGGGATGGGCTTACCTAAAGGCGTTGGTGTGGGTGGGAGGTCCTGAACAGACTGCCCCTGGGTCTCTGAGGTGAAGGGAGGTGGGCAGCTCCAGTTTTGACCTGTCCTTAGGGGCTAGACACTGAATCTCTGCAGCACCCGCCAGGCCACGGGGGAATGGGCAGAAGGGTGCTGCAGGAGAACCTGCCGCTCCTGAGTTAAGAATCGGAATGGCTGTCAGTTCTCACTGCCTCGGCCAGGAGGGAGGCAGGAGCCAACTCCGGGAGGTGGTGTCCTGGCTGCACTCCTAAACTGATGGGCAGGTCCGAGTGAGTGCTGACCGCCATTGTGCCACCCCGTAACAACCCCGAGACTAGAAGGAAGGTCTCTGCAGTCAGTAGTGAGGCCAAGCACAGGGCCACAGACATGGCTGGCTCAGCAAGTAAAATACCTGACCATCCTGTTGGAGCCCAAGGGTGCAATGTAACTGTAGTACTCAGGATGAGCAGAGATGGAGCAGGAGAATTGCCCAGAAGCGTAAAAGCCTATAGAGTATGGAGCGCAACAGCAGAAGCAGGAGACACCACCACAGGGCCATTAAGGCAGCTGAGCAGGCACAGGCACCAGATGACCTCGTTCAATCCAGGATCCCTGCAGAAGGGGAAATCCAACTCCACCTTCCACACCTGGCAGTGACACTTGTGCACAGTAAATGAAAGTGGGTGACACTAAAGACACTGCCTCAGTAGGGTGGAAGGCAACTCTGCCCTGGCCTCCACGGGCACTGGTGGCCATGCAGCTCGGGAACACCACCGACTACATTTCCGAGAGGCCTGGGCGAACAGTGGAAGCCACTGCCTTTGTCCTTTGGAATGGGGCCAGCAGACTACGCCAGACGTTCTCCAGAGCTTGCAGTGCAGTCGAGGGCGGGGCCAGGGAATGGCAGCTAAGCCAGCCATCTGTGATGTCTGGAGACCACTCTTCAGGAGAAGAGAATGCAGCGTGGGGCTGAGTTTTGGTAGAAAATTCCTGTGAGGTACATCAATGGAGAAGCAGGGAACAGGCGTCTAAGCGGCCTTGGCAATCACGGGGTATTGAACATAGCCTCAGACAAACACAAGTGACAGCAGAACTGGGGGCCACATTGGAAGCACCTGCCGTGCAAGGGTTAGTGGGATCTGTGTCTGGGCCTGTTGCCTCTTGGTTAGAACTGCTAGTCTTGTCTTCTACCACTGGGGGTGCTGGCAAGGTCAGGGGTATGAGAAAGTCACAGGCCCAGGGCTTCCTTTAGGCTGAGGCTGCCGTAGCTTAAGCCGCCTGAGCTTCGCCGCCTGAGCTTCGGCTGGTCTTCTCTGCACCCATGTGAGCGCCCAGGGCCCAGGGCTGCTCTCCTGAGGGAGGGCAGAGGAGGACACATGCTTGCCTGTCCCCTCAGTGGCCATGACGCTCTCCTCAGGTCTGCACCGCAGTGTGCAAGTGTGGAGAGCCACATCACATGGGGAGTGGGGGGGGGGGGCGTGGCTGGCAGGCCTCGCCCAGCCCTGCTCCACGCCTCCCCCCCCCCCCCCCGCTCCTGTGAAGCAGCCACCTGACTATGCTCCTGGTGGTTGCTCTGCTGTCTGAAAAGGGGGAGGAGGAGGAATGTGCATGGCTTTGAGGCAGCTCCTGGCAGGGTTTCAGACCTCGGGGGTGTGGGGAGTGCTCGGGTCTCAGTGGAGTCAGCCCTGAATCCAGCCGTGCCATGGGGCCTGGTGGGCAACAAGGAGGCCCTTGCTGTTGTGGGGACTAAATAAGGGAACTGGCATGGTGGCCTTGGATGCATCACTCACAGTGCGCCGTTTCCATCGTGAGGCGAAAGGACCAGCTTCCAGGCTAAGGGATCCTCTGCCGGCCTGCCCAGCCTGGGCTAGCTGTTCTGGGGATGGCCCACCTTTGCACACCCTCCGCAGAGCAGCAGACAGGCCAGAACCCTGGTCTGAACAAGCCGCAGAGGCCCCATCTTTCCTTCAGTGCTGGCTCAGACAGGCCCAGCCTGGGCACAGCAGCCCCTTCTCCAGCGTCCGCCAGACTTGACTCTTAGCGCTTGGTGGGCACGGTGAAGACCAGGGGATGGGGGGCAGGCAGGAGAAGCAATTCTGCCTTGACACGACCATCCCCCCTAGCTGGTCCCCCCCTCCAGCTAGGTGTCCCCCCAGCTGGGTGCCCGCTAGTGTTTGCGCGCCTGTGTGCGTGTGGGTCTCACCCAGGCCTCCCCACTACCTGGAAAGTACAGGAAGTGTACCACCAGAAGATGAGGGGTAGGCAGAGCTGCTGCTGAGGAGGCCGCTTGACGTCTGCAGAGGGAGGAAGAGACTGAGAGGCTGGGAGGCATGAGGTTCTGGCCCATGGGTTTTATTAGCTCCTCTTGAGGCTGGTGGGAAGGATCCACTTGTGGGATACAACCTCGCCGCGCAGTGATGGCCACAGGAAGGCCTTGTCAGTGTCCAGCAGCCTGGAGGAGTTCCAGGGCCAAGGAAGCTACTGCAGGATCAACAGGCGCACTGTGGGAAGAGAAGGAGGTGCTTGATAGGCACGAGGCCAGCATCCCTGTAAGAGGGTGGGCCTTTTGTGGAGGAGAAAAATGGTGATGGTTGACAGGCACACGTGGGTCAACATCCCTTTAAGAGGGTGGACCTTTGAGCCCAGGTACCCGAAAGACCAGTCGCTTCATAGAACATCCTGTTCCAAGAGCCCACTGCCAAAATCCCTGGATGGAGCATGCCTCTCAGCCATCCCTCAGCCTCAGGCCCTGGCCCCACCTGCCATTTGTGTCTGCCTGTGTGGGCCAGCGGGACAGATGTGGCCAGCCCGCCTTCCGAGCCCCTGCCCCCTAACCTCTCACACCCTCTCTACCTTCCTGCTTTGCGCTGCCAGCTCCTGTCCACTGTGGGCCCTGCTCAGCAGGAACTGTGGGTGCTGCTTGGAGGTTATAAGTGGACAATTAGGAGCTTAAGATAGAGACTTTGTTCCGTGAGACACGAAAACCTGGCTGTGAGCAAAGAAAAGCATGGCGTCGGTGCAGCCCCCTGAGGAGGAAGGTTAGCCTGGTGGTGGCGCTCTCAAAGGCAAGGAGAGAGCTGTTAGCGAATAAATGTGTGGGTGGCCGCAGGACTTCGGCCCAGGGGCAGGGCTGCCGCCAGAGACTGCCGTGCATTCCTGCCTGCACATCAAAGGCACTGAGGGGGGTGGAAGCTCTTTGAACTTGGCCTGCTTCTGGCGGAGTCCAGGCCAGTCCTGTGGTGCCATCCTGCCCACCAAAGCCCCAGAGGGACTGGCATGGACGGTCAGACCGTCCGTCTCCTGGCAGAGCAGTGCCACCCACTCATCTGGCCCTCGCAGGTGGGGACACCTGAACAAACCCCTAGAGACAGAGCAAGGTCTGCCTGCATCCTGGGTGTGGGCAGAGCAGAGCCCTGCAGAACACAAAGCCTCCTTTAGACCTGTTTGATCCAAATTTAAGTCCAGCCCAGGAATAAGCCACCTTTGGTCTCAGGGCCAACAGCCGCAGCAGGTGGCAGCAGGGTGCCCAAGCTGCTGTCAGGAAGGGAGGAGGGGCTTTCGGGAGCCGGATGAGCACCTCCTCTGCAGTGGTCTAGGCGCTGGGCAGCCCTGGTGGGTGTCCCTGGCCTCAGCCTCGTGCTGTGGGTCCCAGCAGATGAGACAGGCCCAGGGGTAGGCCCAGCTGTGCAGGCCAGCCTTTCCTGACATGGGAAGGGCCTGGAGCATGGCATCCCCCCTCACGGGGCCACAGCCAGCTTTCAAATGGAGACCAAAACCCAGATGGTACCAGGGAAGACTGGGCTGCCCTTAAGAGTGGCTTTTCCCCAAGGAGGGCTTCACAGACCAGAGCTGCCTTCCGGGCTCTGTGGCCACCAAGCCGCACCCTGGCCAGGCAGCAGCACTGACTGGTGGGATTGGTAGCCAAGGCCCTGCTGTCCAAACTGGGTGCCTGTCATCCACAGCTGTTGGCCCAGCAGGCATCTCCGTTTGAGACACTGTCTGTGTTCAGTGTGTGTGACCTATTCCTTGGCTGACAGGCCAAACCCCGCTCCTCACTCCACATGTTCTCAGCAAACTGCAGTGAGGGGCTGGCCCAACTGTCGGCTGCTCCGTGTTACAGGCCCTGAAGGAGGGCTGAGGAAGGTGGCCTGGCACTGCCATCAGGGCACGGTGCCCTTCACTGAAACCCAGCCTTCCCTCACCAGGCACGTGTTCCTTCCTCAGTGGGAGGAGTCCCACCACAGGGACAGACCCCAAGATGGTGGCCCCTGATGTGGGAGGAGCCGGCCTGCGCAGTCACGCTGCTGCTCGTACCTGTGAGCCGGAGCCAGATGCTCCAGGGCCTGCAGGAGACTGCCGCTGTTCTTGAGGCCGTCCAGGTGCTTCTCATTGGAGGTGACCTGCGGGGAGAGCACAGCGTCAGCCGCCCCGTCCCTGGCCTGACCCTGTAACGAGTGTCGGGCCCACACGGGCCCTGCAGTCACTCTGCAAGGTAAGCACACTATGTGCCGACATGGTTAGTGAACTCAAGAAAGTCATGTGGCCGTGCTCCTGTCCCCGGGAAACTGACACTGGCCGGCCTCGGGGCACCCCCACTGCTCAAAGAGCTCTGTCTTTCCACTTGATCACAGCAACTCAGGCAGGACTGGGGTCCCTCATTCTCAGAAGACCCTGAACAAATGGAGGTCACAGGGTGGAGACTCTGTTAGGCTTTGTGGAGCCTGAGCTGCGTGTGGCTGGGTCTGTGCCTCCCCAGACCCTCTTCCTCTTCCAGCTGTGCTGGAGACCAGCTGTCAGCCCAGCTGCCTTTAACTGCTTACTCAGGGCCTGCACATAAAGATGGCTGCCTGAAGATGGTAGCTGTGGCTCCTGGTGGCACAAACTTGGAGGCTGCTTCAGGTACATCAAGGCCCACTCACAGCTCCCTACAGCTCAGGGGTCTACCCTTGGTGGGGAGAGGGGTGTGTGCAGAGGCTGCGCTTCCGGGAAACTGCCCCATAAGCTGCAGTAAAAAGACCTTTACCCACGAGGGTGTTTCCAAGGCACAATAGAGACGCTGCAGGGACAAGTGAGTGGTCAAGAGAATGGATCGTGAGCGCAGCCTTCATGGCTGACACAAGCAGAAAGTGGACCACGTCTGCCCAGGACACCAGAAGCCACCTTGCTCTGAGGAGCTGCTTTCTGTAGTGTGCAGCCCTCAATGGAGACGAACTGATCAAAGCGCCCAATCTAAACATGGTCTCTGTGAGTGCACCCCACCCCACTCCCGCTCAAGGGTCAGGGGCTGTCTTGGAAGAGAAGGCAGAACTGACAAGACATGGCTGCTGCACTCGTGAGCTCAGTGGTCACCTGGGTGAGGCAGAGAAGGGAGGACAGGCCTCCGTGGAGGGGCCGAGCTCTCAGACTTCCGCCCCTGCTCTTGTTTTGGGAGGCACAGCCTTTGTGCCCCTCTGGTAGGTGTCCATGACCCAAGGTGATCACACAGCTGGGAACATGTGGACAGCACTAACTTGGCCGAATGGTTTGTTTTGTGTGTTTTTTAATAAGGACAGAGCTGGGTGAGGAGACGTGTTGGGGGTGTGGGAGAAGCTACAGGGAAGTGAGGGAAATTTGGTCATAGTTATTGTATACCTGCATGAAATTCTCAATAAAGAAATATTGCAATTTTTTAAAAGATGAAAACCGTGGGGTCTGAGGCACACTGGACTCTCAACAGCAGTTTCTGTATTGTAAGGAGTATATTAAAGCCATGGAATGTTCCAGAGCTGCTGGCTGAGACAGAGAACCCACATGCCATTGTTCTGTCTCCCCAGGCACTGCTGCTGAGCCTGGGCAGGGTGCATGGCCAGCTATCAAATAGGCTCTCCAGTCAAGAACAGCAGGCAGGCCTGGGCAGAACGCCATGGGTGCCCGGGTGGTGTGGTGGTGTGCCTGCCTCTGCTGGGCACAGCCAGTTTGAGCTCTGCAAGCCCCAGATCCAGAAGTGTGCACAGAGTAGCGGACAGAGCGCAGGAGATGCCCAGCTAGCCACGTGGGAGGCCCCAGGGTGTGCAGGGTTCCTGAAGCCTCACATCCCGGCCTGAACCAGGGCAGGACATGCCAGGTAGTCACCCAACACCTGGGAACCTTTGACCCAGGTCTGAAGCAGGAGTCTCAGCTCACAGCTGAATCTACAGAGCAATTTCTGCTGCTAAAACAAAATAGCATGGCCAGTGAGTTTCCAACCAGACAGAACTACATCACCAACCAGGATGGAGCTAGAAGTGAGCATGAAACATCTAAGAAAATTTAAGCTCACATTAGAGATGACACCTTTTATGCCAGCACTTAGAAGGCAGAAGCAGGCAAAACTAGCGCAAGGCCAGCCTAGGCTGTGAGGTAGCCAGACCTCTGCAGTGAGACCGTGTCTCAAACAAACAAAAACAAAAAACCACAGTGGTGAAATACAGGGTTACAATCACGCAGGCCCTCAGCTCATCTGACCAAAACTGAACGGTCAATCACTAACACTCTAGAAACAGGATAAGAAGGAACCAAATGGTAGCAGAGAACTGATTCCCATTGGTTGTCCTGTGACCTCCACAACACACACACACACACACACTAACTAGTAAATATTTTTAAAAGTTAAAGAACAAACAAACAATAGGATTGGCTCGATAGTAAAATGAAAGGTCAGTGAGGACGAACAGTCTGTCGGTCAGTTTGAGCAAACACATTCACATAAGCATCTTGGAGACTGCAGCAGTGAGAGTTCTGTGCTGCTGGAGCTGCAGAATAACAGGATGGAGAAAAGTGTGAAGACATCTGAGAAATCGTGATGCAGCTACTCCAGGTGTGGCAGAAACACAGAGGCAGTGTCCAGTAAGACACGACCCAGTTCACATCCCATAACTGAGCCAGGCATATGGCGCGGGCTTGTATCACAGCACTGGGGATGCACAGACGGAGAGTTCAAGGTCAGCCTGGGCTCCCTGAGGCCCTGACTCAAAGCAGGCTCTTGTTGGTGCCTGTAGAGGCCAAAAGGTGGCAATGGGTTTCCTGGAACTGGCCTTTCAGGTGGCTGTTTAGCCATCCACTGTAGGTGCCGGGACCTGGATGCCAGCCCTCTAGAAGAGAATAGAGGGTCCTTAAACTGCTGAACCATCTCTCCTGCCTCCTGTGCAAAAATATTTCATAATCCCGGTGGTACCTCTAGAGCTATCAGCAACAGTAAAAGACAGAACAACTCGCCACAACTCCAGCTGCTTTCCCAGAGGCCACACCAGCGTCAGGTCAGATCCTGCCTTATCCCGCCAGCTCCCTTTAAAGCGTACCCGAAAGCTGTAAACTGCACCCCGTCCGCTGGGCTTCATATTCTGGCCCAGGAGTTGGGCAGAAGACCTCTGCTTTTCTGGATGCCCCACAGGTTCTAGGGATTCCAAAGGCAATGATGGCACCAAACCTCAGAGGCCATGCAGGCAAAAAACAAAAAGAAAACCCAGCAGACATATGCTACACCTGAAGACTGACTGTTCACCAGAACCCAGGCCACGCGGGCCGGACGATCTAAAAAAGAAACAGAACCAAGGGGGGAAACATCCAAAAACCATTTAAAAAGATAAACTCAGAAATCAAAACCTTAACCTGTATTAACACCAAACCCAGATGACTGAGGCTAGCATAAAGACACAACCAACAACAGCCATGGTAACATGGCATCACCAGAGCCCAGCTATCCTACTGCAGCAACCCCTGGATAGTCCAACACAGCTGCAGCCCAAGGAAATCACCTTACAACCAATCTTATGAAGATGTTAGAAGCCTTAAAAGAGGAAATGAATAAATCCCTTAAAGAAATCCAGAAAAATACAATCAAACAGGTGAAAGAAATGAATAAAACTGGTCAAGACATGAAAGTGCAAATAAAAGCAATAAAGAAAACACAAGCTGAGGAAACCCTGGAAATTGAAAACCTAGGGAAGAGAACAGGAACTACAGAACAAAGCATCACCAACAACACAAGAGATGGGAAAGACACTCTCAGGAGTAGAAGATACTATAGAAGAAATTGATATATCTGTCAAAGAAAATGTTAAATCTAAAGTTTCTGACACAAAATACCCAGGAAATCTGGGACATTGTGAAAAGACCAAATCTACAAATAATAGAAATAAAAGGAAGAATCCCTACTCAAAGACCTAGAAAATATTTTCAACAAAATCAGAAGGAAAATCTAACCTAAAGAGATGTGTATAAATATACAAGACACTTACAGAAAGACCAAAAGAAAATCCCCTTGCCACATAATAACCAAAACTAAAGATTCAACAAAGAAAAAAATACTAAAAGCTGCAAAGAGGAAAGTAACATATAATGGCAGACCATTAGAATTACAAATGACTTCTCAACAGAGACTCTAAAAGCTAGAAGGTCTCAGACAAATGTTTTGCAAACCCTAAGAGACAGATGCCAGCCCAGATTAATCAAAAGAGATAGAGAAGGACACTTCATAGTTGTTAAAGGAAAAGTCTGCTGAGAAGACATCTCAATTTTGAATAACTATGCCCCCAATTCAAGAGCACCCACATGTAGCAAAAAGCCACCTGCAGTGCCCCTTTTTAAAACTCTATTTGGGGTGTTTAGCCCTCTGCCTCCCTTCCACTAACCCCCAACCTTGAGGAGAGAGAAAAGGTTTGTGCGGAGAGGGGCCCAGACCCCTTTACTTCTCCCTGCTAGTTAGGGTCACAGGGTTCTTTTAGGGCTCTATACCAATCTCCATCCGCAGACGCAGCCAGCAGGCCCCTCTGCGCCACTGCGCTGCAAAGCATTTCTCTCTGTCTGTCTGCTCCAGACCGCCACACTGTGTCTGGTCTCTGCTACATGCCACACATCAACACCAAACACCACGCCTTCTCTTTCTCAGCTCTCGTATTTATACTCTCAGAGTCCTAGACCACACCCATTTTCACACCACCTGTGGAAGGCTGCTACCACCTAGCAAAGATCATGCCCCGAACATGGTAGTTATCAGCTGTGGACAAACTATAGCCCAACTAAAATCCCCCACTTGGGATTAAAAGAAAAACATATTTACATAACTGAGTTTCCAAAGAAACCAAAGCTTCAGCTACATCTACATTCATAAAAGAAACATCATTAAACATCACTAAAGCTTAAATCACACATCACATCCTACACATTAATAGTGGGAGATTTCAACACCCCACTCTCACCAATGGACAGTTCATCCAGACTGAAACTGAACAGAGAAATAATGAAACTAACAGATATTATGACTCAAATGGACCTAACCTATCTACAGAACATTTCACCCAAACACAAAAGAGCGTACCTTCTCAGCACCTCAGGAAACTTTCTCCAACACTGACCGTTTATACTCGGTCACAAAGCAAGTCTC